GCTCTGCCCTTCAGTAGCCTGGCTCAGAAAGGAAAGTGGCCTGGCTTTGTTCTCTGTCCTCTATAGGACATGAAGCACTGTAGGCCTTCTTTGGTTTTTGTTTTGGATTAGACACCAGCAGACTTTATGAAATGATGCCTATCACTACTCTTTGTTTGGGTAGAGTTTCACAAAAACAACCTCACCTGTGTAGTATGGGTTATAACTCTGTGCTCCTTTTGGTTAGAAGATAAATGTTATTTCATCACATGGAAAGAAATCTGTATTTGACCTCCACTGTGGATAGCCAGGTTAGAAATTTTAAATGAGCCAGTGGTTACCACTGTAATTCTCCCTCTGTGTTTTTTGGGTTTTTTGTTTGTCTTTTTGAATACGTCCTAAATCAAAACAGGATTAAGTAAATTACTAAATATTACAAAATATTCAGGGCATAGTTCTACTGGGTAGTCTGACTTATTAAGGTCTCCCAGTAATCTTGAGGTAATAGAATCCCAATATAAAGGACCTAGCTTCAAAAACAGTTAGGATTTTGTCTGTGTTTTTAAGTCTGTGGTTACTGACTTGCTTTTAACATATGGGACGCATTGCTTTCCACTCGAAAGTGGTGTTATTAAGAAATTCACCCTGTTTTATTTTCATTTACATTTTGAATTCTCATAAATTGTCAGGAGACCATCCGTAGTACTATAATTAAAACACCGATTTCACATAGTTGGCCAGTTTCTTCCTCACCTATTGGTTCTCAGCCTTCCTGGGGCAAGGTGGGGTTACCAGATGGCCGCCTTTGTGTGAGCTGTGGTCTCAGGTGACTACTTCTGGAGCAGCCTCCGCTGTAGGCAAATGCTTGGTGTGGAATTAGACTCCACGGGACGATTGCAAGCCTGCATGGCCATTCACTTTCTCTTCGTTTTCCTTAACTTCGTGGCTTATCTATGCAAAGCTCAATTTAGAAAAAAATTGCATTTCACAAAACCAGATTTATGCTCTAATGTGATGCAGTGAGAACTGAAAAGTGTGCAAAGAAAGGGGGCTTTTCCTGTCGTGTCTCCTGTTTGGCACAGCGGGGCTTCATCTGTTTTGCATGTTACGTACGTGTGCAGTGATTAAATCAAGACAATGTGGTGGAAGGGGCTTCGATCAGCGCTTAGCTGAGAGTACGTTCTCAAAAGCAGCCTTGCGTTTGTTATTATTGGTTCTGGAGGGGCTAACTGCCTTGCATTTTAGATAGGAAGGGATTGTGGAAGACTGCCGTACTCCCAGATCCTTCCAGAGAATGGGTCAAAAGCTCTGTCTGCACTGCTCCTTGCTCTCCAGAAACACCCATCACGCCTGCAATGATGTCTTAGAAATCTCATCCCTGCTCCCCCAGCACACCCCTGTCTTCCCAGCACTAGGTGGTCCTGTCTACAGAACTCGTCCATGCCTATAATCTGCAAAGAGTCTATGGCACATAATTTGACTTAAATTTATTGGTGTATATCTTCCCTTCCATTTGTTCTTTCATATTTTTTCAATGAGTACATTATTTATTGAGCATTTACCATATGTCAGCCCTTGGGCATTCAGCATTGAACTAGACACATGGGATCTGCCTGCCCTCAGGGAGCTAGACAGTGCACTTCTGACCACAAGCCCTTTACGCTTCTGTCACTCAGAGCGTCTGCCGCAAAATAGGTTTGCTTTAGTTGCTATACTCGCTTGACTCTCTTTTTGCTCTCATGTTGCCTTAGAAACAGGGTTCCTGGGGAGCAAAGGGGTTTTGGGGGCTTGACTGTGCACAGTGGTAATGTAGGCAAGAAATTCATGATTCAGGCTCTCCGCTCAGCCACACTCTTTATCCGCTGAGAAACTATCATCTCATCAATTGAATGACCGGTGTGCTAACCAGTTTACATATGCGTGTTTGTTTATATATATTATATATTTTATATGCATTATATGTAAATCATATTGTATATATGTAAACCAGGTTACATATAAATATGTATATATATATCTTGTGTGTGTATATACATATATATGCTTAAGTAAACCTTTAAAGCACTCAAGTGCTGGGTCTTTTTTTAAGGAATTCTTGAAACAATTATTTTTTCAGGGAAAAGGATCAAATCCTTGCCTTACTCTTTGCCAAAATGTATTCTGAAAAGCAAACAGACACTTCTTGAGGCATTTGGAATAGTGGGTTTTTATGAGCATATCAAATATGCTTATTGAAATTCGAGATTTCTCCTCTTCCCTCTCATTTTGCTAAGCCATCCCTTGGCTTACCCTCCCCATCCATCACTCCCCCATCCCTGACAGTTACCACTTTTTACATGATTTGTGCCTTCTGAAAGTACAGTCTAAAACATGGTGGTCCTCCTAGCCAGACTGGCCCATGTGTGGGAGGTTCCTGACCTCAGCCCTGTCAGCAGTGGCAGCAGAAGCTGTTACTCAGATTTGGTGAGTGAAGAGACAGTCATAAGCAGTTGTTTACACGGCGGGGTGGAAATCTCCCATGATCCTTTGGTTAAGCGGCCGGGGCGGGGGGGGTGGGGGGGACAAGACAAAAACCCTCTCATGAAGGAAACAGGATCTAGGGAGCATTTTGAATGAAGAAAGAGCTTAGTGAGCCAGACACACGGGGTGTGATGTGGGAGAGTTCTGAGATACGCAGACATCGGACGCGGCTGAGAGGGAGTGGGCAGGTCCGATGCATTACCTTAAGGAAATTGACTGGATGCACAAGAAAATGGGTCCATCTGGCAGCTAAGGATCCTGATCTCTAGTGCCTGGGCAAGCCCCTGGAGAAATGGTCCAAAGTAAAAGTTGGTGCGTGTGAAGACCAGAGCTTTGAGAGGAGGCAGACACAGGCCTGCAGGCTGCAGACCTCAGCTGTGGTTTAGGAACACTTCTGACACGGCTAATGCGCGCTGCTTGCTCTGTACCAGCTCCCAAAGGAGCAGACTTAGGATCGAAAATGTGTGGCATCGGGTGGGCCCCCCAGGCAGGAATTGGCCTCTGGTTCTTGGAGGCAGAGAAGATTTCCTGAGACGGTCAAGGAATAAAACATGAGGAAAAGGTTGTATTAGGAAGGTGAGCAGTGTAATAGTCACCACACTTCCTTCATACCGACCGCCAGGCATCCTGCCCCCACTTCTTAACCCAAAGGACACATAGAATTACTCTGAGGGGCAGGAGTGAAGGCGACAAAGCTTCATCCACAGACATTCTGATTCAGCCCTTCAGTCCATTCCCCAGAACCCAGAGTTGTGTTCTACCTGCAAGAAAGACAGAATTGCCTACAGAGACTATGCTGGCACTCGGGAGGTGGAGGCTGGGGGTTGAATTTTCAAAGCATCTCCCCAGAAAATTGTATGAATGGCCAAGAAAGTCACAGAGAGGCTCTCACTAGGGGTCGTCTTCATTTGTCAAAAGTTTTAGAAAAGACTTCAAGGGTGCACACTTGACTGAAATTTGTCATTGTTATAAAAAAATTCATTTTGAGAAATATTTTGTTAAATGATTCTTGTTCACTTTTCTTTCCTTCCCTTCTTTCTTTCTTTCTGTCTGTCTGTCAATGAAATGTCTTATGTCCTTGCTAAAGGAGCTCAGGGAAAAAAAGCGGGGGGGACCACACTCTCTGGGATTATCAATGACACATTCCCAAAGAAGAAGACAAACCACTGTGCAGCATGCATTTTTTTCTGCCATAAAGAGTATTGGTTTTTAATATAAATCTGTACTATAATTTGTTATGTTCTGTGATGGTTCATAACAACCTCCTGCACTTTTCAGAAAATTAATACCATTCATTAGCATAAATCACAACCCGTTTCCTCAGTCTGTGCTTGAAATTGGGGGTGCCCCATCATCCAGGAGCTCCCTCGCTCGCTCTCTCAGTGAATTATGACCCATTAATTGTCATGGCTGGTGGGCTTCCCTGGTTAAATAAAGGATTGGATTGGAAGGATTCAGATGTGATGCTTTGTTCTTGGGCTTTAGTATTTTAATGAGCCTGCAGGCTTGGCTGCTTACCGAGGGAGGGAGGAACGAGATGGGGTTTCTGAGTGTGCTGTTGGTGTTAGCACTTGTAGATGGATGTTCACTAGAAAGCTCTTGTTTCAGTTTCTCAGAGAAACTCTCCATTAAGAAAGATCTTTCAGCAGCATGGCAAGCCAAGAAGGAGAAAAGAGAGGAGGGAAGCTTTTAGCTGTAAGCATTAAGGGGATATTGTATCAGTTGTCTTAGTTCTAAAGATTTGCTTCTAAGAATTAATTGGAGTAAATACACATCTCAAGGCAGAAAAAAAGGTTTGTGGAGCTGGGACAGTAGTTGCTGTCCTTGCACTATGGGGACTCTTCATCTTGCAGCTGAATCAATACGACAGGGAATTATTTCTGGTTATCTTTTATGGGTTTGTAAGACATTTCTTTTGTTCAGTGTAATAAAAAACCCATTGTCTGATCAGTGACTGACTAATTATGATAAGTAATTTGAAACATTCTTGATGAAACTTGCCTGTTAATTAACATCAACAGCAAATGGAAACTAACAGGACAACAAAGTATTAGCACACCCACTCTTCTCTGGAATTGACGCCATATTTCTATGGCATGCCCAATAAACCAAAGCTGCCGATGGTTTAAAAAAAAAAAAAAAAAACAGGTGTGAAGGTCTGACTCACCACCTAGGAAAAGTTATTGTGAAGTTATACAAAGGAGTACTGAAATATTACAAGTGAGGGGGTGGTAGAATGGAGTGTCAGGAGGTTGACTGATCCTGTTGCATAGAGTAAGGAGAGCGGTTTCTTTCTTTCTTTTTTCTTTTTTCTTTAAAGCTTAGTTCCTAAATACATTCATCCCATCTTGATCTGAACTAAGATACTTTTGACAAATATAAATGTGGATTCATATAGTTGTACTTTGGAATTATTGACATTGGCTATATTGTAATTATCATTGATATTGTTAATTTTTATCAACTCAATGGCTTTTTTTTTTTTATTTTATGCTTTATAGATTTCTACCTGGACAAGGACTGGTACTATACCCACAGATAGGAGACAAATTGGATATTATTTGCCCCAAAGTGGACTCTAAAACTGTTGGCCAGTATGAATATTATAAAGTTTATATGGTTGATAAAGACCAAGCAGACCGATGCACTATTAAGAAGGAAAATACCCCTCTTCTCAACTGTGCCAGACCAGACCAAGATGTAAAATTCACTATCAAGTTTCAAGAGTTCAGCCCTAACCTCTGGGGTCTAGAATTTCAGAAGAACAGAGATTATTACATTATATGTAAGTATAATTTTATTCATTTATCTTATAGAAATTAGAATAAGCTAAATAGGTTTGTATCAATTTTTTAAATTATTACTGTGGCGAATAATTTGGTGAGAGTCTTTGCTGAAAATTGTCCTTTTTTTTTAAGAAACCTTAATTGAATGAGGGACCCTGCACCAATAGTACTCGGTAATATAAATACCCAAAGAGGAAAGAGCCTCCTAGAGTTTTTATAGTATTGAAATAAATGGATATTTATGAATATACTCAGCATCTCTACTGACAAAAACATTTTTAAGCACCATTGGTGAGATCTCATAGGTAAATCTTGTGCGATGACTTCTCTCTTCACCCATCCATCTACCCATCCATCCGTATGTTCACTCACGCATTTAGTAATTTAGTATTTACTTTATGCCAGAAACCACAAGTGCTAGGTATTCAACAGTGAACAAGGGGGTGTAATGGTACCCTTTCCTTGAGGAGCTCATAGATTCAGAGGATGGGGGGTTACAGGCAATCCAGAATTATACATTGCGTGTTAAAACCAGATTTAGAAGAATAAGACAGAAAACCTGGATTTGTTCAGTGAATTACCTTTTTCTTCCATCTACATAATAATATGACACATTGTTGCAGGAAACAGGTACTAGATATCCTTCGGGTCACATCTGAGTTACTGCTCCCTTCAGAAGGCTGTGAAGGCAAAGGGTGCTCGCATCCAAGCACATGCCCATTAGGAGCAAACAGTATGTGGGCACAAAGGTAGGATTGTTCCAGGCCCAGGGTTTTGTCAGAGTGCAGTCTGAGTGATTATATCACTCAAGCAATGAAATATTTTTTTCTTAGTTCCTTTGGTGTAAAACTATGCCCATAACTGGGCTGGAGTGTGCATGCGTTTGTTACCACGGGCTTCAGTTCGTCAGCAGATGCAGAACTGCTCTCTCCTGGTGATCCAATCCCATCTCTTGGTGATCCATGGAAATGGCTCTCCCATCTCTTGGTGATCCAGTGGAAATGGCTTTCTCAGCCTTCTGGCCGCTCTTGAGAGTGCAAAGTCAGGAATTCACCGAATACTTACTTAGTACTCAATTATACACTGTTTTTACTACATTAGTCACTAAAACAAAGATGGTCATAGCTGTCTAATTATCTCGTCCTTGCTGCAAACCTGAAACACCAGGGACTGAAAACCTGTTTTGAAGCCAACTTGACACAGAGTGGCTTAGCAAGAGTCAGTACCACAGAGAAAGGGAAAGTGGTAAATTATAGATTTAAAGGACTAATTATCATAAAATGAAAATAAGAGCATTCTGAGGGATGAAACAAGGAGGCAGGGTGGTAAAGTATACAAAATGATAGAGAAATCTTTGAAAATAGAAAATAGTTATTAGGTGAAATCAATGGAGCTATTAGAAGCGTAGTGGTTTGCTTCTTTATTTATTTTAAAGACCTTTTAAGCAAGACTGTTTGCCAAGGACACTAACGTGTAGTGCAGGGACCTGATGAATTCCCACAGAAGGCTGTGCCCCCCTGGGTAGGTGGGGGAGAGCACGCACAGTGCCTGAGGGGGGCTCTCTAGAGCACCTACTGCACCTGCCCTGCTCAGTCTGTCCCTAGAACCGTGTGTACCGCCCAAGTCCACGAGCCGGCTCCTCCCTGGAGATAAGCCCCCAGACCCAGATTCTGTCCTCTTATTTTCATTTATGACTTCACTTCATGAAGATGGCTTTGTACAATCTGCGTCCCCCCTGAGCGCAAGCAGGGTTTCAGGAAGCATGGTGGGTTGAGCCTGTGGTCTGAGGTAGGATGCAGGAATGCAAACGCTCTGCACTTGATAGCAACACCTTTGTGTGTAACAGAGTGAGCATTTAGCAACTACATGGCATCCATATGTGACAGGTGCGTATTTAGAAGCACGATTTAATTTATAGTTATAATACTAATCTATACAGTAATGGCATCTCTTAAAAAAACTCATTATTAGTTTCAGTAACAGGTAGCCGAGCTCCCTTGGCCTCCAGAACTCGTCTCAGAGTGGCGATTTACTGTGTAAAACCTCGTGGTAGCCTGGGATAAAAGACTCTTTCTTAAAATAGAGCTAAAGGTTTCGAGTGTGAAGCGGTGCGAGGCTGTTGGAACACTGCTGGCCGGGTGAGTGTCCGGGGCTCCGAGGCTGGCCAGGAACCAGGGACACTGTCACCAGACCCCTGAGCAATTCTGTCGCATCACAGACATGGGAAGACACTGCCGAAACCTCGGAAAAGCCAGAAGCTCAGTCCTCACGCCCGCCCCCGGCCAGCAGCGCTCATTAATAGACAGCTTTCCCTCGAAAGAAGACAGACGAGCAGAACACATTTTAAAATAGTTTAAAAAGTGAATGCTGACTTTCCATTCTTGCTTCTTCGAGAATTCCAAGATTTTTAAAAGTCGCCGATTTCCACATCACACGATCACTCACATACACCCCAGAGTCACACTTGACTTGAAAGAGTACCATTCAAGATGGCGTAACGGAGAGCTCTCAGATTCACAAATGTATTTTGAACACCTCAGGTCCTCAGTTCACTTTGAGACCGTTAATAATGTTGGTTTGGGAGATGCGGCAGTACGACGTGGATCCAACTCCGAATCTCCATTGTCTAAGCACCTTCAGTGCTAAGAGTATGGGTATCAACATCGTCATCACTGTGTGCTGGTTCCTTGTCACGGGCAGGAACCAGAGAAGTGATGGTGTGGAGTAGTGCTACCTACCCCCAAGGGGAACAGTCCAGTTTGTCAGTGGACGGCCCAGGTGTTGGATAATTCCCCAGGTAAACTGATTCCAGGAGCACTGGGCTAGCAGCCCGGAGACCTCAGGTCTAGTCCCATTGCCTGTGCTTAAGGAGAAAGTCACTTTATCTCTTTGAATTTTGACTTCTAGAAAGTTCTTTTATCGTTGCTGTTGTTACAGCCAGTGATGGTGGTCTGCAGTTCCAAACCATTTCATGGTTGGATATATACATCCCGTGTAGGATTTCTGGTTAGTGTGTCTCTTCTCCAATTGAAATGGGTGGGATCTGCTATGAATTCTCCAAAGACGTGTAATTTGATTTACAGTGTTGCCAGATTTTTAGAATATAGTCATCGGACTTTGGAGTTTTGGAAGTAAATATTAACTTTTAATTGCAAGTGTATTTTTAAACCTACCAAGTACCCACTAAATTCCCTTAGGAAATGACATGACAAAATGATACGCTTCCTCATTAGTTCTTCTCGTAGATGATTATTTGCTTTGACATGTGGCAAAATGATATATGTGGGTTTCCTTAATGTTTAGAATTGACTTTTTCAAGTGACCTATTTCAGTAATTAGCCTTAGGCCTGATTTGCAACATCAAATCTCCTAATCTTAAATGATCCAAAAGTAAGGATGTTTGTTAGTGCCATTTGGTCTGAAAAAGCCCCTCTGTTCTTTATGACATTCAGATTCTTAATTGCCTTAAAAGCATAGTAAGCATTGTATATAACCTATAGTTATGTTTATAGTCTTTAAAATTTTTTAAAGTTGATGAAAATAACTATCTGTTCTCAAGTCCCCATTTTCAAGGGAAGCTCCATCTCAGTAAACACTCTAGTTAATAGGAGGAGAGCATTCCTGTGTTCTCAGCCTTCATCCGTATTTGTGTCATTGACTTCTCTTGTAGACACTTTCTGTGCGTGGTTTACAATTTCTTTGAGAGACGATCACCCAGTGGTGAATGAGTCAGCAATTTTGGCATGTTGGCCCTTTGCAACATCCAGCCTTATGAAGGTTCTGTAGGTTGGTTATCCAACCTCAGCATGGAAGCTTGCAAAATACCTACAAAGAAGTTTTCATCACTCTACCAAAATTATGTGAGTCAGAGATGGATGAAAAATGAGTGCCATTGTTTTGATACTTTTCAAGTGAACAGTGGCCACAGCAGAGCTGTGTGACAGAGAAGGCCATGGGCACAAGGCCCCTCCCAGTGTAGCCTCATGTAACTTTTACGATGTTTTACCTCAGATCCATAGCCAAGACTTGGACTTGTGGAATGGTCTGAAAGTCATCATTTCTAACAATTGTTTGATTAAAGGTTGTTCTTTTATGTACACCCTGCCGTATGCACAGTGGGCCTTTCCAAGCTGCCCGTCCCTTTCTTGGTCTTGGGAAAGTCTTCCTTGAGGAGTAGTCAGTGAGTTTGACTGAGTCACGATTTCCTAGGCCATTGGTTTAGTTCTCTAAAGCAATTTTTTAAAAAAATCAGACCACATGAAATTGGAAGCCTCCACAGTCAGCTTTGCTTTGCTGTTTCTTAGGCATAACCTTCACTTCTGAGCAAATTGCAAAATAAATTAAAATGCTTGCATACAAATATAACAAAATACTATTCTTCAAGAATCAAAACAGAGGAACAACAGATTCCATTTCCTGCATTTTTGTTAAATATATATGTATATACATAAATATTTTTAAATTTATTTACTTAGGTGTGTTTTCCTTTGGGGTTTGTTTTCCTTTTGTGTTTCCAATTTACTTATTTCAGGAAGTAAGTATGATAACTGGCATGAAATATAGTGGATGTACCTTAACCTCTCCTCAGCAAAATAGTTGTGGGAGCTTTTGAATATCCTTTCACATGTAGGTTTCTTTTCAGATATATAAGAATGTGTGTCCTGTGTAATGATTATGGGTTTTCTGTCATGAATTAATTTATATGCTACATTTCCCTTAAGTTTAGTGATAGGACAGTATCAGCCTGTCACTTCTGTCTCTGACTTTGGGGTGAGGATTTATGTTTTAGACCTTGTATAGAATTGCCAAATTCCAGCATTTAAACACAGTTTTATTTCTAACCTACAACTGTCATCTTTGTAATGGAATGTCCATCAGATTCTTGGGTGTCTGGAGGATTATCTACACACACCACTTGGGGTGACAGATGAGTGTGGTCGGTGGGAGTCTGGAGTCAGACAGACCAGGGTTCTTGAATGCCCTTCAACAAGTAACTTCC